AACGCCGAGAGCACTGTCAAAAACTGAGTTCCGTGTAAACTAGTTTCTGTTTGTAGCGGTGAAATGTAAAATGAAGCTGTAACTTCGTTTAAACGCTTTAAATTCGATTAGACGCTTTAAATCAGTTTTGTTAGGTGTAATCGTGATCAGTTTCGTTGGTGAAAAGGGACCTTAATTGGTCTGATACATACCAAGACGAAATCAAAAGGTTTTTTGGTTTGATTTTATATATGGGTATCGTTAAATTGCCTAAACTAGCAGATTATTGGTCAACAGACCCCCTAATTTGCCAATCTTTCCCGCGTACGATTATGTCTCGTAACAGGTTTGAAATTTTGTTACGAATGGTACATTTTTGTAACAACGACAACCAAAGATACGGCGACCGTCTGTTCAAAATACGTGAATTAGTAAATACTTTGAATCTCAACTTTGAAACATATTACTATCCTCAAGAAAATCTCTGTATTGATGAGTCTCTGGTACCATTTCGGGGTCGCATTATATTCCGGCAATATATCAAATTGAAAAGGCACAAATATGGAATTAAAGTTTTTAAATTATGTACTAACCCAGGCTACACTAACAGAATTGAAATATATGCGGGAAAGAGAGGTGAGACCGAAACTACAACCTCAAACGCACGCAAACCCCAGACGCAAATTGTTGGACAATGAAACGCATCTTGTGGGCACTTTACGTAAAAATAGAAAATATTTGCCTAAAGATGTTATAAACGGAAAGATAAAAAAAGGAGAGTTTAGAGCCAAAGAAAATGAAGATGGTATCACTTGTATGAAATGGAAGGATAAAAGGGATGTTTATTTACCGTCTACGAAACATTCTATTGGATTTAAAAGGACTTACAAAAGAGACAAAGAAATAATAAAACCAAAAATTGTAGTCGATTATAACAACGCAAAATCTTCTGTAGACCTATCTGATCAGATGATTGCATACTTAACACCTTTGAGAAAAACTGTAAAATGGTACAGAAACTTGCTGTTGAACTGTTGTTGAACACTGCTTTACTAAATTCTTACATAACTTATAAAGAAACCACAAAGTCAAAATTAGGGATAGTAGAATATAGAAAAGTTGTGCAAATATCTAACAGAATCGGGCAAAGAAAACAGTAATCCTGACATGCCATTGACAAGAAATAGGAGGCAAAAGCATGAGCTAAAAAAGAAAGAAGGACCTGTAAAAAAATCTAGAAAGTACTGTTCACGGTGTTATAAAATAAATGTTCAAATAATAGACAGAAATTATGCTAGAAAGAAGACTAAGCAAGTGACTACTTATTGCCCACAATGCCCTAATGAACCACATTTTTGCCTATCTTGTTTCAACGAGGAACATAAAACAATGTAACTTTACCTTGGCCTCTCTGACTGATTATTGCATTTCAATACTCTAAATTGTTTTTTTATATTTTTCTAAGTTGTATAAGCCCAAAATATGATTATTTCGAATAATAAAAAGTTTTTATAGTTCCATTGTTGTCGCATTTTATTTTTCCCAATAAAACCTTAATATATCCAGTTCTAAATATAAAAATGCTAGGCCAAGTTGAATATAGTTTTTCCAGGGCCTTGTCAGTCAATTTTAATAGATAACGTGCCGGACAGCTCCCTGAGATCATTTAAATTACATACTGTGGCGTCAGTCACGTGCCTGACATGGCAGTTAACGTGTTAATTAACCTTTCGGAAATACAAAAATATTTTCAACCATACGCTCATGCTACAATCTTGAGCGAGACCGTGACTACTTACCTCAAAGTTACAACCAGCCTTTCGGCAGAAGAAATACTATCTCGCATAGCTGTGTGCTGATGCTTCAGTTTAATGTTTAAAACGGACAGTAATTTATCAAATGTCCTTTTAGTCATTCGAAGATAGTTATAAAATTCATCATCATAATTGCGTAATTCCGCATAAAGGATATGAAATTCGCCATGCTTCTCTCTGCGTGTTAATATAGGGTGAATCCAGTATTTTCTTTTAGTTTTTTTACTGTCTTTTTCTTTCTTCCATTGTTTATACATATAGAATGTAATTAGAACTTTGTTTAATCTAGTCAAATCCATTTTGGTTTAAACGTGCACA